TTCCGGGGAGGAAGGGAGGAGAGAGAGATAGAAATATTAATGATGAGAGAGAATAACTGATCAGTTGCCTCCTGCACAACCCCCACTGGGGATCGAGCCAGAAACCTGAGCATTTGCCCTGATGAGGAATCGAACCATGACCTCCTGGTTCATAGGTTGACACTCAATCACTGAGCCATGCCAGCTGGGCTCATGTGCTTATTTTCTATCTGTAATTCTCTTTGAAGAAATGTCTTTTCATGTGTGTGTGTGTGTGTGTGTGTGTGTGTGTGTTTGCCAATTTCCAATTGGATTATTTGTGTTTTGTTTTTTCACTGTTGAGTTTTGAGAATTCCTTATATATTCTTGATGTCAGTTTTTAAAAAAATATATATTTTATTATTGATTTTTTTAGAAAGGAATAGAGTTAGAAACATTGATGAGAGAGACACATCGATTGGCTGCCTCCTGCACACTCCCTACTGGGGATGTGCCCACAACCAAGGTACATGCCCTTGACCAGAATCAGACCTGGGACCCTTCAGTCCGCAGGCCGATGCTCTATCCACTGAGCCAAACCGGTTAGGGCTTGATGTCAGTTTTTTGTTGGCTATGTAGTTTGTGAATATTTTCTCCAAGTGTGCAGCTTGTCTTTCTATCTTCGTAACAAAGATCCATTTCCGAAAAGATTAATGTGATAAATACAATCTTGGCAATCTCAATTAAGGAACTGAAAAGTGACAGCCACATCAAATAGGAAGTTAATGACACTTTTCCTGTTTTCATAAAAATTTTGCTGGGTTTCTGAAGCTGAAAATGATTATTGGTAAAAGCCCGGACATTAAAACAGGAGTTGAACCCATGTAGGCAGAGGGGAAAACAAGCAACCACCACTCTTCCCAGCCTCTGTAAGAGAGGAGGGAGTTAAGGAGATTATTTCAAGGAAATTTCAGATGTAAACCTGGGCTGGAGCTGTCCCATTCATCAGCGAATCAGGCTATACTTGGCCATCTGCCAGGACAAGGAGGCCTAGTGGACTCCATGGATGTCAGGCCTGAGCCCTATAGGAAGTGAGGCTGAAAGAGACTGTGGGTGCACAGCTGCCATCTGGGGCAGGAACCCATGGTGACCATCACAGTGGGAAGCCAGAGAGTTCATGGTCCTCATGAGGGACTTCCATGGTGAGAGGGTCCCCTAGGGCAGTGATGGCGAACCTATGACATGCGAACTCATTTTTTTTGGTTGATTTTTCTTTGTTAAATGGCATTTAAATATATAAAATAAATATCAAAAACCTAAATCTTTGTTTTACTATGGTTGCAAATATCAAAAAATTTCTATGTGTGACACGGCACCAGAGTTAAGTTAGGGCTTTTCAAAATGCTGACATGCCCAGCTCAAAAGGTTTGCCATCACTGCCCTAGGGGTTCTCGAAGGCACCAGAGGATCCAATGAGAGGCTGGTGTTGGATGCCTGCTGTGAAGAACATCTTGACCACCACAATAGCACCAGGTCACGGGCCTCTTTTCCTTGTGTTCCTTTTTAAAACAAATTTGATACGCTGTATTTTAATTGTAGTTGAGTTCAAAATTAGTACCTTGTTTCTCTTGAGACTTTGTCTATGATCCATGGATTATTTAGAAACAGGTTGCTTAATTCCTGGGTTCTGGTGATTTTTAAATTACATTGCTGTTATTGATTTCTAGTTAAATTCCATTATGATCTGAGTACATATGTTATAAAATTTTAATTTGTTCACGTTTGTTAAAGTTTGTTGTATGATCCATGATATGATATATCTTCAAGTTAAGTTCTATGTAGTACTTACAATTAATGTGTATTCTGCTGTTTGAAGGTGGCATTTATGGTCTATAAATGTCAGAGAAATTACATATAAACACAATGCAAGTGTGATCTGAATGCCAATTAACTTTTTGGGAACAGGATAAAATAACTTTACTATTCAATAGAACAATAAAAGATACCCAGTGTGGGAAACTGATATAGGGTTGAGCCTCGGACTGACCTGCTGGCAAAGTCATAAACAAGTCCCAGCTGAGAGGGCTCAGTCCTCTAAGCATAATTAGGCTTGGCCTTATAACACTCCCAGATCTTACCTGGGAAGCTAATGGGCTGAGGGAAGTGCAGGGAGTGTAAACATGATCAAAACAGGTGAAACTCACAAGAACTGTAACTATGGTAACCACTGCATTGTTTACCTCAGACTATAAAAGGTCGGTGCTGCCTGAGCACGGGCGGAAGTCCTTCCTCTTGAGTTGGACTTACCCGCCTGGTCCCCCAATATTTCCAAATTATCTCTTGTCTTTTCTATTTCATTTGTGTGCGGCTCCTCTTCCAGATATTGAACCCTGAACCACGCGGGACGTGGAGGGAAACATTTACGACAACCCAGTGAGAAAATTTTGAAGGGAAACACTGAAAAATAGAAGCAAGAAGTTTTCTAAACCATTTTAAGAAAGAAAATGCAAAAACAACAATAACAAAACAACAACAACCTGTCAAAGTCAGGGAAAAAAAGGAAAGAAAATATGGCAGATCAAAACATAAAATTATAGTCCTGGTCAGTTTGGTTCAGTGAATAGAGCATTTGTCTACAGACTGAAGGGTCCTAGACTCCATTCCGGTTAAGGGCATGTACCTTTGTTGTAGGCTGGATCCTCCAGCCCTGGTTGGGGCATGTGCGGGAAGCACTCAATCGATGTGTTACTCTCATATCGATGTTTCTCTCTCTGTGTCTCTCCCCCTCCCTTCCACTCTCTCTAAAAATCACTGGGAAAAATTCCAAATTGCTTATTTTACCTGCTCTGTGTGTGCTAGACTCCAGCCTCCTAAGAGGGATCACTCGGAGCCCTGCGGTGGTCTCTGCCCACCAAGGGGTCTGCCGCTTGGAAGAGGTTCTGCGTGGGAGAAAAGCTGGGGGTGGAGGAGGGGAGGGTGGAGAAAGGCATTTTTGGTCCCTCCCCCCCCAGCATGTTACCTTTGCCTTTCCCTCTCCTAAGCTCCAAGGGTTCTTCTTTTGCCTCTGTAAGTTGTTTCCTGAGCCTATGCAGCCCAGCTGGCTCACTTCTACTACCTTGTAACTTTCTAAATAAACTTTCTCTTATAATTTGGAAAAAAAATCAATGGAAAATATCCTTGGATGAGGGATAAAAACAAACACCCCCCCCCCATAAAATTATATAGCAAAAATAAATTATCCTATCTAATAAAGAGGGAATATGCTAATTGACCCTCATGCCATCACAAAGATGGCGGTGCCCACAGCCAATAAGGAGGGACTATGCTAATTGCCTGCCCCACCCTCAAAGATGGCAGCACCCACAGCCACAAGATGATGGTGCCCAGTCCCCTCCGCCCCACCAGGGTGCCTGCCTCCTGAGTTCCCCAGTCCCCTCAGCCTCCCAGCCACCCAGGGCCAGCCTGAGGCCTGAGTTCCCCAGTCCCCTCAACCTCCCAGCCACCCAGGGCCAGCCTAAGGTGAAGGCAAGCCTGAGATGGTGGCTGCCCAGCCGCCCAGGGCTACCCGAGACTCCGGTAACCAGGGCCGGCTGAGGCTTGTGCTGCCGGCAGTGGCAGCAGCAGAGGTGTGATGGGGGCATCACCTTCCCCTGATCGCCAGGTTGTCTGCTGCCTCTGAGGGCTCCCGGACTGTCAGAGGGGGTAGGCTGGGCTGAGGGACCCCCCTCCAGTGCATGAATTTTCATGCACCAGCCTCTAGTCCTATATAATAAAAGGCTAATATGCAAATTGACCGAATGGCAGAATGACTAGTAGCTATGATGCACACTGACCGTCAAGGGGCATATGCTCAAAGCAGGAGCTGCCCCCTGGTGGTCACTGTGCTCCCACAGGGGGAACACTGCTCAGCCAGAGCCAGGCTCACAACTGGCAAGTGCAGCAGCGGTGGCGGGAGCCTCTCTTGCCTCTGCGGCAGCACTAAGAACCCCTAAGCAGACATCCCCTGAGGGGTCCCAGACTGTGAGAAGGCACAGGCTGGGCTGAGGGACCCCCACCCCAGTGCATGAATGTCATGCACCAGGCCTCTAGTAGTATTAATAATATAATAAATGTGAATAGTAAATAGGTTTAATTCTAAGAAATGGACAGAAAATCTTAGGTTGGGTAAAAAAAAAAAATCCAGTTAGAAGCTGTTTATAAGCCATGGTCATATATTTAAAACAAAACAACACCAAATCTTCTATATATAAAAGCCTAAGCAATCGTTACGACCGGTCAACCAGTCACTATGATGCCCAATGACCACTTATCCCTTCTGGTCAGGACTCATTTCACAATCATAAAAATGAGGAAGTTAGGAAGGCTGAAAGAAGCGGAAAGGGAGGAGACATACACTGGAGGAGGAGAGCAAAGCTGGCTTCATAGCTAACACCCCAAACACGCAGTCTCAGCCTGTGATCTGATTATTATTTACTGCCCAAAGTCAAGGAAATGAGAGATCCCAGAGTATAGACTCCTGGGCTTTCAGACACTGAGACCAGCAGGACTCCAGTCATTTATTCGACTCCTCCCCCAGGCACCTCTACCCCACTCTCCAGGATTTCATTTCATCCAACTCTGCTCATTGCTGCGTGGCAAACCCAAGAATCACAGCCTCCAGACTTTGCACAGGTAACTGGGCTGGGGATGCAGGTGAGACCAAAGGTACAGGGAGGGAGTTAGAGAAAGCAGGAAGAAAGAGCTGTGGGTCTCAAGAGAGATGGAATAGAAAGAGATATAAAAGGGCAGCTTGGAGATTTAGTGGCCAAGTGGAAATTTTAGACTCATTCACTTAACTGGATTCAGGTTGAAATATGACAGCCAAACCTCGGTCACAAACTGAGACTCACTCAGCCCCATCTCCAGCCCCATCTCTAGCCCCAGCCCAGCCTCAGTCCTAACCTCATTAGAAACACCATCTTCTCCTTTAACCCCCAAACGTAGCTTCAGCCCCAAAGTCAACATGAATCTTAACACAGACCCCAAATTGACTCTCTTCTGTTTCCAACTTCAGGTCCAAGCTGAAGTATTAACCAAGATCAAAGAAGGAGATGCAAACTCAATTGCATCCCCAATGTTAGACCCAATCCTAGTCACATATTTAGCTCCAACTTTACCTTCACCTTCATTCCCACATTCAATCTAACCCCAGCCCAGAGACCAATCCTGACCCCACTTCCAACCTCTGCTGCAAACCTAGGCCCATTCCCATTCCTCTCCCTAACCCTTGACTCATCCTCAACCTGAACTTCTCTTACCTTGACATCATCCTTGACTTCAGCTCCAACCTCCTCCATCCCCTAACTCCGTGTTTGGCAAACTGCGGCTCGCGAGCCACATGTGGCTCTTTGGCCCCTTGAGTGTGGCTCTTCCTAAGACTTAGGAGTACCCTAATTAAGTTACTAACAATGTACCTACCTATATAGCTTAAGTTTAAAAAATTTGGCTCTCAAAAGTAATTTCAATTGTCGTACTGTCGATATTTGGCTCTGTTGACTAATGAGTTTGCCGACCACTGCCCTAACTCCATCCCTAGCCTGGTCTCTGGCCCTGCCTGCATTTCAGAGTTGGTTCAAGGATGTCAGTGAAATATGAAGACCTCCAGTCCTTGGAGAGTGAGAAGAAAAGCCAGGGTTCTAGAAATGGTAAGAGGAAAGGAGAAATGGTGTCTTCTAAAATATTTTCGTTAATATTTTAGAAGGATATCTGTTGTCATGGTATATCTGCACCTCTACCATGTCCACTGCTGGGCTCTCCCACTCTGAGGGGGCTCCCGTATGAAGAGGATTCACAATCCTCTGAAGGACAGGATCAGAGTGGACCAAAGCAGTCCTGGCTGCTATACCCTGGGGAAGGTCATGAGCATTTACACTGGGATAGTGAACAGTCATGCTTGGAAGAAAAACGGTGGCTAACCTGACAATACAGATAAGCACGAGCCTGCTGAGGGCCTGGCTGCCCCGGCTCCCTCTGTGACCTCCTGCCCCCTGTTCCAGGCCTGATGATAAGACCTTACATGTCATCATCATGTGTTTCTGGAGGAGAGGGGGTCTGTGTGACTGAGAACTTGTGCTGGTCCATGAGGGGTCAGATGCCTGGGCATCTCCTGCACCACAGCCTCTCCCCAGCTTTACCTGCATCACTCTTCATCCCTGACAGGTCCCTGTGGCCCTCTGCTCCTCCCCTGTGTCTCTCCTGTCCTCAACCTCCATGTCCTGATGTCCTCTCCTCTTGCAGGGCTGCCTCCTCCCCCAGCCTTCCTGCAGCATCTCTGCTCTGGCCCCTGGCCCCTTCTGCTCTCTCTGGGCCTCATCCTTCTCCTGATGATTGGCATCTGCGTGATTGGATACAAAAGTGAGTGTCCCAGGATGGTCAGGGAAGGGGCGATAGTGGGCACAGTAACCCAGGCACTGATGATGATCATGGTGGGTAAAGGCAGCTGCTGGCTCTGTTGCTTACTCATGGGTAATGTAGTCCAAGTGCCTAACCCAGCCATGGGCAAACTACGGCCCGAGGGCCGGATCCGGCCCGTTTGAAATGAATAAAACTAAAAAAAAAAAAAAAAAAAGACCGTACCCTTTTATGTAATGATGTTTACTTTGAATTTATATTAGTTCACACAAACACTCCATCCATGCTTTTGTTCCGGCCCTCCAGTCCAGTTTAAGAACCCATTGTGGCGCCGAAACCGGTTTGGCTCAGTGGATAGAGCGTCAGCCTGCGGACTGAAAGGTCCCAGGTTCGATTCCGGTCGGGGGCATGTACCTGGGTTGCGGGCACATCCCCAGTGGGAGATTGCAGGAGGCAGCTGATCGATGTTTCTCTCTCATCGATGTTTCTAACTCTCTATCTCTCTCCCTTCCTCTCTGTAAAAAATCAATAAAATATATTTAAAAAAAAAACCCATTGTGGCCCTCGAGTCAAAAAGTTTGCCCACCCCTGGTAACCTCTGGAAGCCTGAGTTTCCTCCTCTGCAAGCTTGGATAACAACAGTGCCTGTCCCTTGAAGTGGGGTGGCTGTGAGGACCCAATGAGCCAATGTATGTCAAGTGCCCTGCTGAGTGTCAGCACAGACAGGACTGAGCAATCTTAGCTCTCATTGTCCCACCTGCCTGGTCAGATGCCAGGATTCAGAATGATGTGGAGACCCTGAGAGCAACTTTCAGCAACTTCACTTCCAACACGATGGCTGAGGTCCAGGCACTGCACTCCCAGGGTGAGCCTGGCTGGAAGGGGCTCTGGATGGGAGGGGTTGTGGTGGAGCAGGAAAGAGCTGAATCCTGAGCACTGAGTCCCCATGTCCTCCAGGTGGCAGTTTGCAAACAACAATAACATCTCTGAAAGCTGTGGTGGAAAAGCAGGAGCAGGAACTGCAAGCAGGTGATAGGCCCTCCAGGAGTGAGTGTGCAAGGGTGGGGGCCGGGCTCTCAGGACAGAGGTGGGGTGGGCGCAGCCTGGGGTGCTGAGTGCCCTCCCCTCCAGCCCGTAGCCTGAATGACACGGTGTTTTCTCTGGAGAGCAAGCTGGAGAAAGAGCAGCAGGAACTCAAAGCAGGTCAGGCCCCTTCTCCCCTGCCCCTGGGCCTGATGTGGTGGGAGAGCATGGAGGGCCCTCAGCCGGCCCCCCTGCATTGTCCCCACTGCCCTTCTGTGTGCCTCAGGTCATTCTGAAATGCTCCTGCAAGTCCAGCAACTCGTCAAAGGCCTGAACTCCCTGAATTGTCAGATGGCTGCGCTCAAGAGAAATGGTGAGTGGTGGAGAGCAGTGCCTAGCCCCATATTCTGCCCATGTTGGGCAGCATATGAGATCCTCCTCCCTTTCCACCTCAGACTCTCAAAATACCTGCTGTCCCATTAACTGGCTGAAGTATGAAGGCAGCTGCTACTGGGTCTCTGGTACTGGGAAGCCCTGGCCCGAAGCCGAGAAGTACTGCCAGCTGCAGAATGCCCACCTGGTTGTCATCAACTCCAGAGAGGAGCAGGTGAGGGCTCAGGTCTGAGCTCAGGTCCTGAGAACTGGCCTCACTAAAGAAACGGTTCTCCACTCTTGCTGCACACTGGTATCACCAGGGAGCTTTAAGACCATGGCGATGTGAGCCACACCTGAGGGATTTATAATCATGGGCCACACAATGACATTTCAGCAAGGATGGACCAAAGAGATAACAGTCGTCTCATAAGATTAGACTAGAGCCGAAAATTCCTTTCACCTAGTGGGCAGTAGCCGTCATGATGTAGCGTAGCACATTGCTCAGGTGTGTGTGCTGATGCTGGTGTGAACAGACCTACCTCACTGCCAGTCATATGTATAAAAGCACAGCACTTACAATTATGCACAGTATAGTGTACTTGCAAATGGTAATAAACAACTTTTACTGATTTATGCATTTATGATACTACTAGAGGCCTGGTGGACGAAATTCGTGCACAGGGTTGGGGGCGGGGGAGTGTTCCTCAGCCTGGTCTGCAATGACACCAGTGTCCCTCACCCCAGCCTCCAGCCTGAAGGCCCTCCCCTTCCCTCCTTCCACACGGCTGGGGTGCGGACGCTGGGCTCACATTGCCGGGCGACATTGCCATCATCCTGTCCCAGCCACTATGGGCACTGCCATTTTTGTTGCGGAGTGACGGTTAATTTATATATTACTCTTTTTTTTTTTTAGATAGGACTAGAGGCCTGATGCACAAAGGTTTGTGCAAGAATAGGCCTTCCTTCCCCTGGCTGCCGGCAGCAGCTTCCCTCCGGCACCCAGGACCCAGGCTTCTTTGCTCTGGCTGCTGCCAGGCACCCGGAACCCAGGTTGCTTTGCTCCTGCCACTGCCAGGTATCTGGGACTGGGGCTGCTTCACTTCGGCCGCTGCCGCCACCCCCACCCCTGGTGTGTGTCTGCTGGGGCTTGGGGCAGAATGCAATGGTGATGCCCGGCTAATTTGCATATTACCTGTTTAGATATATAGATACTATTATTATGTTAAAGTGTATTCTTTCTACTTATAAAAAAAGTTTGTTGTTTAAACGTATGCTGTGTTTTGCTGGCAGCAGCCTCATATCATACACCTTGTGTTTACTGTGACTCTTTTGTGCATCCTTTCCTCTTGTGTTTGATTTTATCATCTCTTGTGGTTTTGTAGAGTAACACACCACACAGGCCGATAGCCTAGGAGCAATAGGCCACGGCCTAGGTGTGCGGTAGGCTATCCCATCCAGCTTGTTAGGTGCACTCTATGATGTTCGCACAATGATGGAATTGCCAGTCTCTGTTGTTAAAGCAGAGCTTGACGGCAATTGGCCTGGGCATTGGGATAAACATCCCAAATCCCCTCAACTGATATAATGAACGTGTAAAGTTCAGAACTCCTCGTCCAAGGAGTTGGTCGGGATGGGGAGAAGACATTATTGTCATTCTGTCGTCCCAGACTTTTGTCCAGAAGCACATAGGCTCCTCATATACCTGGATGGGCCTCAGTGATCCTGAAGGAGCCTGGAAATGGGTGGATGGAACAGACTATGAGACCAACTTCAAGTGAGTACATTTGCTTTCTGTGCTCTTCCTCCCCTCCTGGAGGATCTGACCTACAGCCTCTTCTCCCCACCCCCACTCTGTTCCATCTGACTTTCCCAACTTGCTGTTG